CAGCAGGAACTTTTACCTGTACTTCGTGGGAGTACAAAGGGGCACAACCACTTTGGACAGCAATTTAACAATATCTAGTAAATTTGGAGGTGCTCATGCCCTATAACCTTGCAACTCCAATCCTAGAAATATACTCCAGAAAAGTTCTCAGACACCTGCCCTGGAGACACGTGCAAGAATGTTCATAGGTGGCATTGTTTGAAATAGCAAAAACCTGGACACAATCTGAACAGTATCAATAGCAGACTTGATACACAGACCAAGAACTATTCACAGGATAGAATATGAAACAGTTATGAAAATTAAAACTGGAGCTATGCACGGATAAATCTCCGCGAGAGAAAAACTTGGAGAAGATATATAGTATGATGCTCTTAAAACACACAGAATGGACGTATTTATGACTAAGGAATGCATACATATATAATAAAAGTATAAAGAAATGCATGGGAATGAATGAACAAATTCAGGATAGTGGTTGTTTCTGGAGGAGAGGCAGGAGGATGTAATAAGTGAGAAACACAGGGCAGGGGCTGCACCAGTGTTATTTTATTTCTTAAGCTAAAGGCCATTCACAGGTAATTTTTTAAAGAAAGGGCATGATGCAGCTCTAGAAAATTTCTAGACAATATCTCCTCTAGAACTGTACTTTCCAATAACATAGCTACTTGTAACATGTGGCTACTGAGCACTTGAAATGTGGCTAGTCCAAATTGAGATGTCGTAAGTATAAAATATATATTGGCTTTCAATGACTTAGTACCAAAAAAAGGAATATAAAATATTTCATTAATACTTTTTTAATTGATGATCTCTTGAAATGATAATATTTTGGATATACTGAATTAAATACATTGTATTTTTTAAATTAATTTCATGTGTTATTCAAATTAATTTCAAATTACATCAGAGGCTCCCATTATATTCATATTTCTGTTGGATAGCACTGCTTTAGCAGCTGCAGTTTTATTTAACATGTTGGGTAACCTCAGTAGCTCGGAATTAAACATAACAAACAGAAATACATACAAGAAGGATAGTATACTGGGAGAGTTGAGATTCAACTATTTCTTTATCCAACCCTTTACTCTGCCACTGCCAATGTGACTATTAGTGTCCCCCAACATTCATTCTCCCCTTTTGCCTTTTACTAAGAGAACACCCCTGGAGTTTTGTCTGGGCATGTGACTGCCTAGACTACATTTCCCAGCCTCCCTTGCAGCTAAGCTTAGCTCCTCCCAATGAGGCATGACCAGAAGTGACATGTGCAACACCATGTCATCTGCTTAAAAGGAAATTGCTTGTTGTCCTCCACTTCCCACCTGTCCCCCTTCTCACAGGCTAAAATAAAGATGTAATGATGACCCAGCTTCTATCAAAGTGATGAGGACAACACCCTGTGGAGTAGTAGGGCAATAAGAAGGAAAGACCCAGAATCTCTGAATGATGACTTGGATCAGTAGTCCAAGTCCTAGTGGGCTTGGACTGTCTCAGTGAGCAAAAGAAACTTCTATCTTATTTAAGCCTCTGAATTTTGGGGTGTCTTTGTTACAGCAGTTTGGCCTGCCCTCTAACCAATACAGGCACTTTCATGTACATCCTTCCCTTTAAGCTTCACAATCACCTTTGGAAAGAAGCTATGATCCCATTGTGCAGATGGGAAAACTAAGACTCAGAGATCTGCCAACATGACCAAAGCCACATAGACTAGTATGTGACAGAGCTGGTATTCTAACCCAGATCTCACTGAATTAAGCCACAGTTGCTGCAATAAAACTGGGTGCTGCAGCTCTGGAACAGGGTCTTTAAAAATCAAACTTTTCAATTTAAAGGCAATTTAACCTTATAAAAAAAATTGAAAATAAAGGAAACAAAACTGCTATGATTTGAATGTGTCCCCCAAATTTCATGTGTTAGAAACTTAATGTACAAATTGATATGTTGATGGCATTTAGAGGTGGGGCCCTTGAGAGGTAATTAGGATTAGGTAAGGTCATCAAGGTGGGGTCCACATGATGGGACTGGTGGCTTTATAAGAAGAGGAAGAGTGACCCAAGCTGACACACTTTTGACCTCTCATCATGCAATGTCCTCTGCCATGTTATGACGCAGCAAGAAGGCCCTCACCAGATGCTGGTGCCATGCTCTTGGACTTCCCAGCCTCCAGAACCACAAGCTAAATAAACCTCTTTTCTTTATAAAACACCCAGTCTGTGTTATTCTGTACAGCAGCAGAAAACTAATACAGAAAATCACCTCTAATTTACCACTCCAAAACTTCCACTACTCTCCTTCTATAATACTCCCTTCCAATCTTTTTTCCTATGCTTCCTATAATAGGTTAAATGCTGGCCCCCCAAAAGATATGTCCACATTCCAGAACCTGTGAATGTGACCTTACTTAGAAAAAGGATCGTTGCAGATGTAATTGTATTAAGGATCTTGAGATGAGATCACCTTGGATTACTCAGGTAAACCCTCAAGCTAATGATAAGTGTCTTTATTAGAGACAGATGAGAAAAGACACCGAGGGAGGAGGAGGCCATGTGAGGACAGAGGCAGAGATTGGAGCAATGCAGCCATAAGCCAAGGAACACCTGAGTCACCAGAAGCTGGAAGAGGAAAGGAAACATTCTCCCCTAGAGACTTCAGAAAGAATATGGCCCTACCAGCACCTTGATTTTGGACTTCTGGCTTCAAGAACTGTGAAAGGATAAATTTCTATTGCTGTAAGCCACCGAATTTGTTGCAATTTGCTATGGAAGCCCTAGGAAACTAACACATGTCCTTTTTATAAACACATGTAACGGCCAGTGGGTATATACTTTTGCTTCCTGTTTTTCTCCTACTTTATATCATAACCATTTTTCTATATTACTGCTTTTTAACCCAAATTTTTAATGATTCCTCCAAGGTTGAGTTTATGGGTAGTTTTCAATGTGTCTGTGAAGGATCTGTTGGCCACACAGCTTTTTGCATGCTTTGCAAGGTTGACATTTAATTCTGACTCTTGTGAGTGCACCAAACACCAGCCTTCTCAGGTCAGAATCATGCCAGTCCTGCCCGGAGGGTCCTGCCACTCACCCGCACATCCTGTTGCCTGGCTCTCACATCTTCCAGTGCTTTCGACGCCCCATTGATCTGACCGTACATGACAGTTAGTTTCTGCCTCAGCTTGTTCTGCGGGGAAAACAAACGAGGGTGATAAAGCACCTCTTCAGCCCAGCCCCCGCAGCACGTAACGTTGGGGACCATACCCCAAATCTAACCCACAGGTGTTTCTGCCACCCCAAGTCTCACCTGCTTGTAGCTTTTTGAAGCACTTCCATATTTATTGTCTCCCTTCATCCTTGTAGGGGGACAATACAGTAAAGAAGTTAAGAGGACAGCATTTTAGCAGACAGGGTCCAAGTCCGAGTTCCTAGCTGTGCAACTGTCTCTCACCTGTTTTTTTGGCCACAAAATAGAATTGTTCCCACCTCCCAGGAGTATTAGGAGAATTAATTGAAACAATGTAAGTCCACAGCACACTGCTTGGAGCTTAGTAAAGACATACTAAATGTCCACTGCTACCTATTTAACAGCTGATGAAACTGAGGCAAGGAGAATAGCAAGGTGACCAAGCTCACACAGTGACAGCACGAGCTGGGACAGCTGCACCGGCAATGGCAGATGAGGTCATTCAGACCAACCCTCCCTCTGCAAACAACCAGAAAAGCAGAAGAAATATTTGTAAAAAAAAATCTGCAGGGCCGGCCCGTGGCTCACTTGGGAGAGTGTGGTGCTGATAACACCAGGGCCGTGGGTTCGGATCCTATATAGGGATGGCCGGTTCGCTCACTGGCTGAGTGTGGTGCTGACAACACCAAGTCAAGGGTTAAGATCCCCTTACTGGTCATCTTTTGAATAAAATTTTTTAAAAATCTGCAAAAAGTAGATCAAAGCAGAGAAGGATTATGGAGCCAAGATCCAGGTGAAAGGGACCCAGAAAGATCAGCCTGACATCTGGGATCATTCTCCCCAGAGGCATCTGCCAATTCCAGAAGAAAGCTGGGAGAGCCTCTGTCAGCCCCAGGGAGGCAAGGGGACAAAAATCAGAGTCCAGGGCTCACCTGGCCACCCTGTAGGCTGGGATCACCAAGGGCTAGAAATAGGATGAACCAGCCCAAGGAGCTAAAGCCCAGCCACAAATCAGTTAAATCCCTAAAACCAAATTAGACTAATTCAGAATTGCTAGGTCCCTAGCCACGTCCAGAAACAAAGGTAAATTGTGCAGTAAGGAAGATAAATCATCCTCGTATTATTTCTATAAATTTTCATAATCACTATCTGAGTCTTCTCCCTCCCTGCTCAGAGGAAATGTTGGGGCACAGAAATGGGAAGGAAAAAACAACCATGACGGCCACAATAACAGCAGCTGGTATTTACTATGTACTTACTAGGTGCCAGGCACTGCTCTAGTGCTTTACACGTATGAACTTATTTTAAAGCTAAGAACAACACAACACTATGAGGTAGGAATTACCCAACCTTTACAGATAAGGACACTGAGGCACAGAGCAATTGAGTGACTTTCCCAAGCCCACATTGCTATTACCTGGCACAGCTAAGATACTGGTATTTAGTGAAATCACTCACACACACAAAGATAAATACCACCTGTTCTCCCTCATAGGTGGGAGTTGAAAAAAAGAGAAAGAAAAGTCGAGCTTATAGAAGTAGAAAGTAGAATTGTGGCTACTAGAGGCTGGGGACAGGGAGGAGGGGGGCTGGGAAGAGGTTGGTTAACAGATTCAAAATCACAGCTAGACAGGACTAATAAGTTCTAGTGGTGTACATACAGCAGTGCTAGGCGTCTGTGATTAACAATAATTTGTTGTATGTTCTCAACTGGCTAGAAGAGAGGAGCTCGAATGCTGTTATCATAAACAAATGATAAATTTTTGCGATGATAAGCTAATTACCCTGGTTTGATCATCACACATTGTACACATGTATTGAAATATAATTCTGTACTCCATAAATATGTACAATCAATACATGTCAACCAGAAATAAATAAAAGACACGTGTCTAAACTGAGCACGCTGAAAAATTCTAGAAAAAAAACATTTCTTCCCCCAACTAGCTGGCTCAACATACTGTGGTCCTCCCTAACACTTTCCTGCCTCTCCCACTCCACCCTAGATATTCAGGGCTGAACCTGACCTTGAATGTGGATTTGAACAGTCCAGTGACAGTTACATATAAGGGTTGGAAGCAGTGACCAAGGCCACGCTAACTTGACCCAGAAAGCCCAAGCCACTGATGACGTTTCAGACCACCTCTGTGACACTGCCCTTTCACCTGGCCTCTAACTGTGGCCAAAATGAGGTACGGGCCAAAGGCCAGGCCCAGGCAGAGCCGGCCTTGCAGGTCTCAGAGCAGGAAGAGACCTCAGAACACCCAGTGGCTGCAACCAATTCACCCCCAACAGCCGCTCTTAGCACTGCACCCTGAGCCTTTTATTTTAAAAGATTTTATCCACCATTAATCAAACACAAATGACAGTCCTCTCATCACAGACAGGGGCTCACATGACTCCAGACAAAAGAAAAGTGGGCCAAGGACTTTGGTAGCCACAACAAAACCCTAATCAAGGGTAAAGAACTTTTTGGAGTACTCAGTATCCTTTCACAGACAAGGAACTTGGGTCCTCCGTGTGGGAGGCACCAAATCCTAAGTCCATCCCACACCAGTGGCCAAGACAAGCCAGCCACCCAAGGCTGAGGGCACTGCCCAGCTGGGACTGGCACAGTAGCAGGGCTCAAAAAGGAGACCCATTAAAGGACAGTTAGGAGCAGGGAGAAAGGCCTGTTATGAGGCTTGACAAGCCCAACTTGCAGGGCACACAGAGCTGGGCACACTCTGACGCTGGCCGTGGAGGCTGAGAGCGAGCTGTGACTTCTGGCCTGGATGGGCAGGCCCCTCCTGTCCTACCTGCCTTCTGCCCATGGATAAGAACTTTCACAAGTGCCTCTTCAGGAGCCAGGCTGCCCCGATCCTCACTGGAAGGCCTACGTGTCTGAGGCAAGGACAACCCGGCAGCCCAGGGCTTCCTGCAGCCTGCCACTTTCCCCTGTACCTGACTAACAGAAATGGCAGCGGCAGCTCTTATGGCACTTTCACAGGAAAACACTTTATATAGATTGCCTCATTTAACCCTCACAATAACCTTCTCAGACAGGTACTACCACGATCCCCTTTTTATCATTTCCCAGCTGCAGAGATTTCCCAACCGGGAAGCAGAGTCAGGATTCAAACCCACATCTCAACACCCACTCTGGTTGGAACCCATGTAACCAACCACATCTGACACTGGGTTCTGCCTACAAAGCATTTCCCACACAACTTATCTTTCCGGAGCCTCCAACCACCCTTGGAGATGGGGAGGGAATTCTATTAAGCCAGTTTGGCAGATAGGGAAGGTGATGCTCAGAGATCGGCAGTGACTTGCCCCAAACCACACAGCTATCCAGGGCAGAACAGGGCTCCCGGCTCCAAAGGCTAGGCTGGTCCAGGTGTCTACACCCAAGTTGGTTGTACCTCCGAGGAGGTGAACTCGCAGGACATGCCCTGAGGTCCAACTTTTGAGACTCAGAGAAAATGTCCGGAGGAGCCCAGCTCAGACCCAGAGACAGACGAGGCTGGGGAAGAGCTGTGGCCAGACGGGAACAAGGCCTGTGCCTGTTCCTGGCGCCACTGAGAACATCCCCTGACCTCACCCAGCCTCACGTCTCCTCTGACAACACTCAGATGGGCCTTGTTCTGCCTGACAGTGCTGTGAGAAGAAAATGAAATCAGGCCATGCTTTGGAGCTTGGACTGGTAAAACAAAAGGTGGTTCAATTACATCTTTTCAGACTCTACTTTGAGTTTGCAAGGGGAAGGTATGATCCCCCACCACCACTAAAAACATCGCACACCTGAAAGGCCCTTAGGAACCCACCTGGTCCCACCTCCTCACTTTACTGATGAGGACCCAGGTCCAGAGGCCAAATGTCACACAGCCAGATGAAGGACACTGTGGTGCAAGAGTGTTAGCACTCCCTTTGGGCCATATCCAGGATTCCTGGGGCTCTGCCCCTAACAGCGACCCTCCCTGGTCACTATAACTCGAGCTCACCAAAGACTTTTGCTTACATGACCTCAAGCCTCCAGGAACGTCCCATGCTCTGGACTCTACAGACATGGGTATGAGGCTGGCACATGGGAAGAAACTGTGAGTCAAACCAACCTGGGTCCCAACTCCCTCTTGGCCACATCTACATTAGCTCAGGCTAAGTTAACTGCTCTGGCCCTCAGTTCCCTCAATCGTGAAATGGAACTAATAATACCCACCTCCTGGCTGCTACCAGGATTTAATGAGGGAACAGAGCTAACCTCCAGGGTTCATATTTGATATTCAAAACCCTCTACTAAACACCATCAGACAAGTGCAGGCTTAAGGCAAGCAACCTCATCTATGTCTTCAGTTGTCCCCTCTGTAAAATAGGTGTGTGGGGGTGGGGTGGACTCAAGATGAGGGGAGAGGGCTATATAATCTCCCAGATCCTTTCTACTCTGACAATAGGGATGCCCCTGCCTGATCTCAAGCCCAGCAAGACCCATCGATGTTCCGGGGGATCCAGGGTATGCCAGATATGCCCACGGTGGCCCCTCTGCACAACCCCGCAGGCCCAGGCTGCGGTCTGCGCCTTCACGGGTCACCCCCTACCTCCAGGTCGGCGCTGGCCTGGCTCAGGGACGCGGGCGAGCAGGCCTTGTGCTCCACCAGGCAGATGTGGCAGATGCACTCGCCGTGCTCAGGGCAGAAGAACTCCCGCAGCCGGTTGTGCTGGGGACATTTGCGGTGCAGCAGATTGCGAACCGGTGGTTGCAACGGGTGGTCCTGGAAGGCGGGGCTGTCGAAGTGCGGCTGCAGGTGCTCCTGGCAGAAGGAGGCCATGCACACGAGGCACGTCTTCACGGCGGCCTCCTTCAGGCAGAGGTCGCAGGCCACCCGGGCGTCCGGAGCGGGGGCGTCGGCACGGGCGGGCGCCGTCCAGCCGTCGGGGGGCGGCGTCTGGGCCAGCTCGGCCTGCAGGAACTGCTGCACCACAGCGCACAGCACCGTGTTCTTGTGCAGCTGCGGGCGCGCCTGGTAGACGGCGCGACACTGCGGGCACAGGTACGGCGCGCCCTGGACGGCCCACGTCTCACCCAGGCACGACCCGCAGAAGTTGTGGCCGCACGGCGTGGTGACCGGCTCCTTGAAGGGCTCCAGGCAGATGGAGCACGACAGCTCGTCGGCCAGCTCAGGGTACAGCTCCGCCATGGCGCTCCTGGGCGACGGGACGGGACGCGAAGCGTTGCAACGGCGGCCGCAACTGCTGCACTGGAGCCCGGAGGCCGCCGAAGAAACGAAACTGAGCAAGGGCTGGGCGGGCCCCGCGGCTTTCAGGAAGTCACGTGGGGG